GTAGAAATATTTATTATTGTGGAAGTATACAGTGAAATTAGGTAATCTTACACTATAATGTGCAACTATTGCTTACAGTCTTACAGTCTAGGCATATATATTTATATGCCCTAATTTTTACACTATTCAAGTGTAATAGTGTAATATAAAATATTACATATAAAAACCTAACATTTCTGTTGTATCATATTTGCAAAACGATGCCATTAAAAATTTAAAAAACCCTTAAAATGTGGTTTAACAATATATCCTGAATTCTGCTCTTTAGCTAGCAGAACTGCATTTTTGGTAAAATATCTCTATGTTTTGATGATTAATATCATAATCTGCTAACTTCGTCCATGTTGCTGGAGGTGATGAAACCTGAATTAAAACATCAAAGGATCTTTTTACCTATGCTGAAGTATAATATGAAATCCACTTCATTTTTACAGAAGATGCATTCAAAACCTTTGAAGGGGTAAAATATCAAACACTGTATTTCTGGACTGCAGTTCTTGAATTATGAGGGGAAAACAGCAAAGCTATTGAAATTGATAGTCTTCATTTGCTGGTTCCATCTTATTTTAGACAAACTTTCTTTGAGAATAGTCTTCTAAATCTTTCACTAAGTGCGTAAGCCCCACTCTTCTATTATTTAGACGTGACTAATTTTAATGTTTCTAAATATTTTCATAAAACATAAATTTATAAAATGCTCTGTGTTCTCTAATCCATCATAATTTCCGAGTCAAAACTGTGTATTCCTTATTTGACTAGCTGTCAAATCCAAGAAGGACTTGTAGACTAAGTAGTTTCCTTTTTGTTCCTCATTTATAGACAGAAATCTTGCCAAACTGAAGCAAAGATATATTCTTCTGTGGGTTGATCCTTGCCTTGATCCTCTTCGTCCCAACCAAACTATCTAAACTTTGCTGTCTCTTTGTCCTCTGGAATGCAGCCCCTCCCTTCTTGCTTCAGTAAGAAGCGAAGAGAAGCAGTAGCCTGCAGTGCTGCATTTAACCACTGCACCTTCAGTGCCAAGGTGGCGCAGTGGTTAAATGCAGCACTGCAGGCTACTGCTAGATCAGCAG